GCAACACCGGAAAGTCCGAGCCAAAGCTCTGCCTGAGCTGGAGACGAGCTGCGCGGATCCAGTCGATCAGCACCTCAGTGACATCACCCTTGCTGCGCAAGGGGAAGACTGTGGTGTAACGCGAGTAGTCGTCAACCACCAACAGGAAGTAGCGCTCGTGACCGAGTCCACGGACGCGGGCAGGGCCCCACACGTCCATGTGAAGCGTCTGCAACGGAGCCTCTGTCGGAGGAAACTGGGAGGAGTGAGGGGCAGCACGCTGGCGCCCCTCGACACAGGGGACACAGGCAGGGCCAGGGCCCTGAGGAAGGGGAGGGAGGGACCGGGGGAGACCAGACACAAGAAGACGAGAGGCCATGCCTCTGAGCCGAAGCAGAGAGGGGTGGCCAAGGCGGTGGTGCCAGAGGAGGGTCTCGTGAGAAAGACGGCGACACGAACAGGGGGCAGACTCAGGACCAGACCTGGACGCTGCAGCAAACACCTGACCAGATGAAGGGACGCTACCAGACTCAGCACCTGGAGGAGAAGCAGTGGTCAGTGTGTACAGGCTCGACCCTGGCTGACGTGTAAACGTAGCCAGGTGACGACCCGTGCTAGCCTCTGTGCAGTGTGTCACTCGCTGACGAGCAGGGGTGAACTGGTGGACTCCCACATCCTGTAGGTCAGCACCACTCACCAAGTTCGTAGAGAACGAGGGGAGGTAGAGACCAGACAGGGTGCCAGAGGGAGCCGCCGGACACGGGAGGACTGTGGAGAAGCGAGACAGGACAGGACCCCCAGAGGGGTCAGCCAGGGAAACCGCAACAGGCCGACTAAGCGGCGTGAGGGTGGTGCGGTCCCGAAAGAAAGAGCGAGACGCTCCAGAGTCAAGAGTGAAGGTGAGGGAGGCCGAAGCCGACGCAGTACCTGAGAGCGCAGACGCACTAGTACCTGAGAGCGCAGCCTCACCAGCACCTGAGAGCACAGACGCACTGGCACCTAGAGCAGAAGCCTCACCGGCACCTAGAGCAGCAGTACCAATGCCCGGGTCGGGCGGGAAACACCGGTAACAGTCATCCTCATCACTAATGGTCACAGCATACATGGCAGCAAGGATAGCATCAAAATCAAGATCAAAGATAGCTACACCAGCCCTAGACAGCTCTCCCCAGCGGGGGATCTCCGCGGCCTCCGGGAACTGCTGACGCCAAGCGTCCGTCAGGCGGCCAAAGCAGCGCTGGGCGTTGTGGGTGCCCCCACACTGCTCTCCAGCGCGGTCGCCAGTGCGGAGAACGTAGGTGCAGGGACCAAAACCCCCACCGCGCTGACGCTGCGTGTACCACTCACGGAGCTGCTGAGGGGTGGGGACGTCGCGAGAACGCTGCTGCTGCTGCTGCTGCTGCTGGCGCTGACCTCCCCCAGTGCCGCTCCGCTGCGAAGCTCCACTCCTACCACCTCCACCTCCGCCACCCCCGCCTCCACCTCCACCTCCACCGCCTCCGCCTCCACCGCCGCCACCTCCGCCACCTCCGCTACCACCGCCACCGCCGCCGCCACCCCCGCTTCCACTGCCGCCACTAGCACCCCCACCCCCGCTACCACCTCCACCGCCACTCCCACTCCCTCCGCCGCCTCCACCTCCACCTCCACCGCCCCCACTGGCCCCACCCGCTCCCTTGCCCCCCTTGCCCTTGCCAGAGCGGCGTCTCCCGCTAGGGGCAGACGCCGCACCGACCGACTCAAGACCAACGAGGTCGGCCGCAGCGGCAGAGGCGACAGAGGGCAGGAGAGGGGAAGGAGAACACCCCTCAAAGATGGGGGCGCGGGGGTCACCTCGAGAGGCTCCTACAGCAACTATGCTCTTCTCTGCTGCAAGGAGGGCCTTCTCGAGGCTGTCGACTGTGAGGGTGGTGGGACAGACCGCGAGGAAGTGGTCCCGGACTACACGAAGGGAGTCAGGGAGGCGAGTGACTAGGAAGTAGAGAGTGATGTACATGGGGGGGGGGTTCTTGGCGCAGAAGTCAGCAGGAAGCGCAGCGCGGTAGCGAGTGTCACTAGTGCGGAGATGCGTGATGAGATCAGCGACAGTGGGAAAGGCGGCAAGGTCAGGGAAGAGGAAGGGGAGCATGAGGCGGCTCAATGCAGCAGTGGCAGGGGAGGAGTAGCGCGCAACTACAGCGTCGTACAAGGTCTGAGCACTCTTGTACTGGCTAAAGTGCGCGCGCTCAGCGGTAGGCAGGTGGCGACGCACAGCAAGACGTGCAGCAGCATCGCGCGTGGCCCACTGAGAGCGAACAGTGGCGTCAGCATCAGCAGCAGGGGCAGGGACGGCGCCAGAGGTGAGGTCAAAGAGAGACAGACTGTCGGCCCTGTCGCACTGTAAAAACAGCTGCAGGTCGTCGAGCCAGACCTCAAAGTCAATGGCTCGACCCTCAGCGTCAAAAGCGAGGACACTGGGTGTAGCCATGACGACGACAGTGGCGCAGTGCAAGTAGTAGGGGAAGGGTACGCAGTGACAGCAGTGCAGTGCTCACCGGGCAGGGCAGGTCGGGCGGCTCGGGAGGAAGGTCGCCTGGCGACACGGCCGCTAGGCTGCTGGGCGGCTCGGCTCCCGGGCGGCTCGGCTGCTGCAGGGCGGCTCGGCTGCTGCTGGGCGGCTCAGCGGCTCCTGGGCGGCTCGGCTGCTGCTGGGCGGCTCGGCGGTTCCGGGCGGCTCGGCTGCTGCTGGGCGGCTCGGCGGCTGCTGGGCGGCTCGGCTGCTGCGGGGCGGCTCGGTGGCTCCTGGGCGGCTCGGCTGCTCCGGGCGGCTCGGCTGCTACTGGGCAGCGTAGGTAGGGCGGCCGGGCGGGCCGCAGGTAGGGCGGCGGGTAGGCCGCAGGCAGGGCGGCCGGTGGGCCGCGACAGAGTGGCGGGGCCGCTCGAAGGAGTGGCGGGGCCGCGAAGAAGTGGCGGGGCCGCGCGAAGTGGCGGGGCCGCGACGAAGTGGCGGGGCCGCGACGAAGTGGCGGGGCCGCGACTGGGTGGCGGGGCCGCGACGGAGTGGCGGGGCCGCGACAGAGTGGCGGGGCCGCGACGAAGGGGCGGGGCCGCTCGAAGTGGTGGCGGGGCCGCTACGGAGTGGCGGGGCCGCGCGTAGGGGTAGCGGGGCCGCGACTGGGTGGCGGGGCCGCGACGGGACGGCGGGGCCGCTAGCAAGGGCGGCGGGTGGGCCGCTAAGGTAGGGCGGCGGCTGGGCCGCGCAGTAGGGCGGCGGGGCCGCGAAGGAAAAGGGCGACTCGGAGGGTCGCTAAAAAAAAGGCGCGCGCCTCGGGCGCGCTTCGGTGGGCCCTAAAGAACAGTCCCTAGGATGGGACCTGCTCTGATTCCATGTGAAAGAAAGAACGAGAATGAAATGACTATGAACGAAGTCGGTACAAATAGGAAACCCTAATTGTGTTGTACCCCCTATGGGATACCCCACTATAGCCTACACAAATAAGTAAGCTATAATGTTCTGACAGCTGCGCCTTGGATCCCGTCAATTTTCTAAACTGGCCCAATTTTCTTCTGATTGCCCCTGTGTCTTGCAGACCATCACTTTCATGAACATGCTGGCGAAGCAAAACACCGAGCGCACTGACAACCGCCTCCCCGAGCCCGTCAATGGCCGCACCGTTACCTATTACACCACCGTCTCCTCTTAGAGCTTAGTTAGTCTATGAATGTAGATGGGTGTTGTGGGCTGGGTTATTTTATTCTCCGTTCACTGCCTTCATATGTTGGAGGTATGCTGGAGCTTGGACTGGCTGGGTTACATGTTCATGAGGAAATAAGGGCGCGTGTCTTTTGTAAAACCTATGCAAAACTTGAGTTTTGAGTTGAACTATGCGCAGTTGAACCTAGGTCGACCTAGGCTCGACAATATGGGCAGTTGTGACCCGAGTCGCTGCTCCTCAACTGACAAGAATCGAAGGACACACGAAAGTTCAACTATCAAAGTTGAACTTTCCCGAGTCGCGGTCAACCTACGTAGGTTACCCTGTTTTTCCCGCGTTTGTGACGACGCCGGAACCCTTTGTGTTAAGCCGTTTGTGCGCGCGAACTGTGCTGCGACCGTCGCCTTATTCGCAAGTACCTCGTGCATTGTCATGAGGACACACGAGTGAATCTAATTGCACGCATGGTTTGAGCTGAAAGTTCAATTCAGGTTTAGTGTACTACTTCATCTACAATGTTGTACTAGGACACACGAAACGCAAGCAAAACAATTAGCGAAATTTGCAAAACGGGTTACCAGCAAAAGTTCAACCAATTTTCCCAACTTCTACAGCAAAAGACACGCGCCCTAATAATGAAATTCTCCTTTCCAAACTGGTTCAGAGCTATGTGATCGAGATGTGAGTAAAACATGACAGCCTTCCATTGTGACGGTTTCACCAATCCGACAGTGCGTGGTCCGATTCGGTGAAATGGTCCTCGAGTTCGTGTACCCATCTCCACGTGCGCAACTGCTTGTTGGATATGCACTGTGCAGCGGACAACTGGTGCTGTCCCAAACCCTCTTGCGGAGCAGCAGGAAAATTGTCTGGATCGGTTAACTGGTTCAGCAGGAGAGTTGTGCTATTTGCGAGCACTTGCGAACTCACATCGCGAAAGTCGCAAAACCTGGCAGCGCGCGCTGGTGGACTGCCGAATGACAGGCGTGCCTGTGAGGACAAACACACTCGTGGACTCTGTTCCTGGTAACTCAGTGTTGGCCAAATCATACAGCAGTGCTCGCATGCACGCACCAACAACAACATACATCAGCTAACCCACCAACCCATCGACGTCAAAACATCCATCCGTCATCGTTTGACGTCCGTCACGGACGTCCGTCGAATGACGGATGGACGTCTGATCCATGTGGTAGGACACTTCGGATACGCCCTAAGGGGGAATCAAGGTAGAAGATTGCTTCGTTTTCTTCCGAGGGGCAGATCTGCGCTGTCTGGCGCTCACCTCTTAGATGCTGGGTTTTCACCCATTTCTGTTCGCTTAGAATGCCTTCGCTCCTCCATCGCCCCCTCCTCGTCCACAGCTCCCTCCCTGGCTTCCGCCCGGTGACAATGGCGGCGCTACCCAGGGGTCTGAAACGAGTCGCGGTCATCGGGGCTGGCCCCGCAGGTCTCGCGTCCGCCAAATACCTCCTCGAGGCAGGCCTTCAACCCACTCTGTTTGAGAAGGCCGGTTCTATCGGCGGACTGTGGAGGCAGGGCATTCCAAGCGAGGGTGGCGAGGCAATTGAAGAAGAATCTTGTTCGAAACCAGCCGCCAGGGCATCAGATGGAGCGCCTGCGTGCTGGGCAGGCATGATGACAAACCTATCGCGCTTCACCTGCAGTTTCTCCGACCATCCGTGGGCCGACGATGCGCCGCTCTTCCCGTCGCAAGCTCAAGTGCTCGCCTACTTGAAGTCCTACGCCCACCGGTTCCTCATTCCGCCGGAATCAAACTCATTAGCAGCCTCAAGCTCGCTGCGCCTGAACGCGCGTGTCTCCCGCGTCGCGTTGCTGGACGACGGAAAGTGGAGTGTCCAGGTGGATCAAGACGGCCGGCAGCAAAACCCAGAGGTGTTCGATTCCCTGGTAGTCGCGTCGGGGTTCTTCGAAAAGGCGCACATCCCTAACATGCCAGGGGCTGATGCAGCAGCAGCAGCGGGAGTCCTGATCCACAGCGCCGACTACAGGAGTAGCGGGGAAGAAGGTTGTCGTCGTCGGTGCTTCCTTCAGCGGCGTCGACATCGCTGCTGACGTGGCATCGAAAACTTCTGAGGTCATCCACGTCATCACCAAGCCCTTCTGGCTGCTGCCACGCTTCCTTCCAGCCGACCCCTCGGACCCAGCCTCGCCCTTCCTACCGCTCGACTTGTGCTTCTATCGACGGGCCTCGCGACCTTCGCCGTCTCTCGTCACGTTGCGCAGTGAGGAGGCGCGGTGTGCTGCCAACAAGTACATGCGCGCTCTGTGCGGTGATCAGGTAAGGCGCAGGCCGCAATGGGACGGGAATGGGTGGGACCCTGCTTCTTTCTTATGTGTATTCCTCAGTCCACCCGACTAGCGGTGTTTTTGCTCGAAGTGATCTTTTGGAAAGGGCCAATGGTTGCTGCAAGCACACTCTGCGCGCCATCCGTTCACGTGCCCATCCAATGAACCCATGCCTCTTGTATTTCTAACAGAACTCTTTCCCCGTCTTGTCTCTTCTTGCAGGGTAAGCTCCTGTGCCCGGAGCTGGGCGTGAGTAGCAGCGACAGCGAGCACCCGTTCGTTGCCATCGCAGACAGGTACGGGCCGATGGTGCAGCAGGGGCTCATCCGCGTGCTGCCCGGCAGAGTGCAGGGCGTGTCGCTGCACCCGCATTCCCACAGCACAGCTGCACAGGCCTCTGTGACTCTCCAAGGCACGGATGAGCGCATCGACGGTGTGGATGCAGTCATCTGCTGCACTGGTTACAGCCCCGCTCTGCGCTTCCTCCCAAATGATCTGAAACAGCAGATCGGCTTCGACTCGTCGGACCTCTTCTCGCCGCTGCTGCTGCACCGCTGCACCTTCCACCCGTCGCTCCCCAGCGCCGCCATGGTGGGCATGTACCGCGGGCCCTACTTTGGCGCCATGGAGCTCCAGGCTCGCTGGGCCGCAGCCACGCTGTCCGGCGCCCTCCCGCCCGTTCCAACCAGCACCCTACAGGAGGGCATCGAGGAGGCGAGGGAAGTGCGGGAGCAGCAGCCGAGACCGCAGTTCCCTGTGTGGGACTATGTGGGCATGTGCAACTCGCTCTCTGAGGCGCTCGGGTGCGCGCTGCCCACAGACCCCGAGTGGATGAGAGCACACGACATGGTCGTACCCGCACACTACTGCACCCTCACCAGTGCACCGTCTGTCGCTGCCGCTGAGGTTGCCATGGCGCAGTTGACGCGTGCTTGTGGCGAGCTGGAGGGTGGGAGCGCAGTGGCAGGCGCGGTGTTCCGGGGCCTGGCGGGGACGTGGCGGTTGGAGCGCGAGATTCGGAGTGTGCATGAGGGCCTGCCGTCGGGCACCATGCAAGGGACAGCCACGTTTACTTTGCGGCCGGGGGGAGGAGAGTACCTGTACCGTGAGGAGGGGGAGTTTGTGATGGCAGGCAGCGCAGGGGGCAAGGGGAACAAGGTGTGGCGCGAGTATGTGTGGGTGTGCGAGGGGCCCGAGGATGGAATCGCCGTCCACTTTGCCGACAAGTCGCAGCGCACCTACCTCTTCCACCACCTGAGCTTCTTTCCGGACCCTTCTGGGTCAGGTTCTGCTTCTGACAGGAATGAGGACCTTGAGAGTGCTGATTTCGTGGAGAAGGCGCTGCCCCGGGCGTGGCGTGCGGTGGGGGAGCACCTGTGTGTGACGGACCTGTACAAAGTGGCGTACCGGTTTGCCTTCCAAGGCGTTCACCTGGAGAGGTTCAGCATTGAGTACCTTGTGCGCGGGCCCCACAAGGACTACGTCTCCTCTGCGCTGTTCACTCGCCCTGCCTAAACAGTTGTCATGCACTCTGACACCACTGGTATCACGACCATACCTTGTGTGGCAGCAACGGGGCAGCGGCAGTGCCTGGGGCAGCAGCAGTGCCTGGTGCAGCAGCAGTGCCTGGTGCAGCAGCAGTGCCTGGTGCAGCAGCAGTGCCTGGTGCAGCAGCAGTGCCTGGTGCAGCAGCAGTGCCTGGTGCAGCAGCAGTGCCTGGTGCAGCAGCAGTGCCTGGTGCAGCAGCAGTGCCTGGTGCAGCAGGAGCAGGGTTGGCCACCACCGCAGCAGGAGCTGGTGCTCCGCCAGTGGGCCTGGGCCTACAGCAGTGCCAGGTTCGGCAGCAGTGCCTGGTTCGGCAGCAGTGCCTGGTTCGGCAGCAGGAGCAGCGGCATCATTAGGGGCAGCAGCCGGAGGAGTGGCAGCAGAAGGGGCAGCAGCAGAAGGGGTGGCAGCACAGGAGGCTACAAGCGCAGAAGGAGAAGCAGGAGGGGCGGTGGGAGGAGGAGCATCAGAGCAGCTGGCATGGGCAGAGGCGGGAGAGACGATGAGCAGCTCGATTGCGGAACTCAACTCACACAGCCCCACAGGACAGCATACCCCTGCAGGACAACACACCCCCCAACAAGAGCATTCATTCCTTCTGAAAGTACGATATGAGCGACGCCTCTGAAAGTGTTGTGCCCCTCGCACCATGGAGGCGAATAAGGTCTCTGAAAGGGCTTGCCAGGAGTCGGTTCGTCCAGGGATATTTCAGTTTTTTACAAACAAATTATAGAAAAGCTTGTTCAAACAATCCCCAAAGAGCAGTAGAAGATTAATGGAATCAAAGCTACCTACTGTTTACTATAATCTGAATAATTTCTGACCACTAAAGTACATGACTATCAATTGGATACTCTATTTACTCAAGTCACGGTGTCCCCTTCCACCTTATAGTTGGCTCGAGCTAAAACACGGTTCAAACTCTCTGGGATCTGGATCTTATGCTTACAACCCCTGATGGTGACCTCTGTGAGGCGGTTAAAGCCCGCCAGGTACTCTGGCAGCGAGGTCATCTTCTCACAGTGGATCAGCCGCAGCTTCCTGATGCGATGAAAACACGCAAAGTTCCCGGGCAGACATGGAAACCTTGAGTCGTGAATCTCCAAGGTCCTCAGCTTTGGCGGGCAGGTGATATTTTCAGTGCACCCCCTCTGTCCCATGTGGGACAGTCTTAGAAAGCGCAGAGAAGTGCAGGCAGAGAGGCACTTCAAGGTCCTGGAACCTACGGAAAGCTGGTCGAGAATGAGGATCTCAAGCCTGGGCATTGGTGGGATCGGGTGTTTGCTGCATGGCCGGTGCACCTGCAGAAAAGTCAGGTTCGGGTGCGCAGTCAGCTGAATCTCGAAACCAGGCTCGGCCCTCTCTAGCATATGCCTCAGGTTCGGCAGAGTCCCAACCTGAGCAGTGGAGTGTATGGCTTGGAAGACCCTAAGGTACGGAAAGAGGCACTGCGAGTCCGGGACTGGTGGGCAGCGGACGTTCACCAGCTTGAGCTGTGTGATTGTAGAGGAGGACCAGGGGGATAGGCTCTGCTCGTTATAAGAACGTCCATGGAGAGTCAACGACTCTAGAGCAGGAGGGAGAAACGGTTTAAGAGCCCGGGCTTGTCCCTGACCTTGTTGACCCTGCTCACCTCCCTGTCCCTGCTGCTCCTGCTGCTCCTCCTCCTCCTGCTGCTGCTGCTGCTGCTGCTGCCGCTGCTGCTGCTGGCGTTCCCTAAACCTCCCCCCGACTACCTCAGAAATGCACAGGTCCTTGAGGGAAGTCAGATGCCACAGTCCCACCCCGGGCCTGCAGCTCAGGCTCGGAGCAGCCAGGGGCATGTGCAGCCGCGTCAGGCTTGGCAGGTGCCTGAGGGATGGCGGAGGGGCCAGCCATTGGTCCGACGTGAGAGTCAACGAAGTCAACTGCTTAAACCCCGCGAACCGCGGCTCGTCCAGAGTCTCACCCTCCTCGTTGCCCACGTTCGCCACGTCAGCAGTTGCCGTTGTACCAGCCCCAGCAGAAGCAGCCTCGTTAAAGCCCATCACTCTCAACGCGGTTCGCCGCTCCAGCTGCACGCGTCTAGCGCGGCTCTCCTGCCCGCGCGCTGCTGCCCTGCTGCTGCACAGGTCCGTCTCCAGTTCCTCCAGCCGTCTCAGCGCCCATATCGAGTCCGGAAGCACTCTAATAAATAAATAGCTGTGTGTAATATCGGGTACAAATGACAGGCTGCCATCGAAATTGCGTGAGCCGACCCGGAGGTTGAGAGACAGCTTTCGAAGCGAATGTTCCAAGCCGGAAAACAGGTCCGGAGAGAGGTTCGGTGCCCGAGCCTGCGGGTGGACCTCGGAGCCATACCTGGGCTCGCGATGGTAACATATGCGAAGCTCTTGTAACACACGCAGTTGCGAAAACGGAGCGGCGGAGGCGAAAAAGTACTCGTTGGCGCAAGTCACGTGAAGATGAAGCGAACAGAGGTAAGGGAAGGTGGAAGCGAAGGAGGAGGATGAGAATGAGGCGGAGAGGGGATGATGCAGAGGAAGGGAGAGATGGGATAGCCGCTGCCGCTGATGCTTCGAGCCTGGTAGCGTTTCAGTGATTAGGGGTGTCGAGCCTCCGGGACCTGCTGTGTCTGTCGAGCCAACGGAGGAAGAGATCGCAGTTACCAGATCGGGCAAGTTGTCACGCACGACGAATCGAAGCATGTCCGCTTGCACGTGGAACGACCGGAGGCGCGGGCAGGAATCAAGAATATTAACGAGGCCTTGGGTCAGGATTGCGTTGAATGCGTTAAGATGGGATTGGAAGGAAAAATTTTGGGGAAATCGGATCTGGATCCGGCAAGAGCGGAGCGAGCGACAAGTGGCGACCGCGGATAGCGCTTCACACAAACCTTCCTCTCGGAACGCCGAAACACGCGGGCCAGGAAACTTGTTGATAAAAATTGGAATATTGACGGACGTCAGGTTCGGAAACCGTCTAATCAAGGCGCCAATCTGCTTTCCATCGGGAGAAACAATCGCAGAGTCAAGCTGGCGAAAATTCTGCGACAAATTGAGATCAGACACAAGCGCCGGGGTGAACCAGGGGTTTTTTCTCATGAAGCGTACGTGCTCTGGCATGCACAACTGCGGGTCATCTAGAATCCATAGCTTCTCTATTCCCGGATGCCACCGTGAAACGAAACTGCAGTTGCTGACGTCACGGAAACAAGGCTCCCAACGCGCGGTCCGCAAGTCGTAAACAACTGAAAAGTCGCGGGTTCGGCTCTCGAAGACGTCGCGCCACTCCTTGCAGGCCGTGCTAGCTAGGTGCGCGTGTTCGGGTCGCTGCAGCAGTCTAAAAACGTTCTCGAGAACATCGGCGAAAAGGGTTATTGATTTCGCAGGTCTAGTCGCTAATTGGGTACGATCGCAGCTGCTTTCAGGAAACGAGTACGGGGAGGTTGGGGAAAGGGGCCGCAGCAATTCCGTTTCGACATCAGGTGAATCTGCTGTTGTGTGCTGCTTCTCTTGCTTCTCTTGCTGCTCCTGCTGCTCCTGCTGCTCCTGCTGCTGCTCCAGCTGCTCCTGCTGCTGCTCCTGCTGCTCCTGCTGCTCCTGCTGCTGCTCCTGCTGCTCCTGCTGCTCCTGCTGCTGCTCCTGCTGCTGCTGATGATGATGACGATGATGATTCTCGGTGGAAGCAGAAGGCCATTGCTCCAAAAGGAATGTGCGAATGCTTGGAAACGAGGCCGATCTAATCAGTCGAGGTACTCCTGCCGTATCTGTTTCTACATTCGTTTCTGTTCCGAATGCGGATGTTGTTTCTAAGATGGTCTCCGCTGATAGTAAGGTGACCGGCTCAGGGACTTCTGCTGCTGCAGTTGCTGCTGCGGCTGGTGGATAAGCACCCTGTTCGAAGGCGCCCCCGGGCGGAACCCTAGACGTAGCCATTGCCGTTTTTTGCAAAGTTCCGCGCGTTGTTTTTTGTAGCGCACAGATTGAGTGAGAAAATGGAGGGAAATGGCCACGACATGAACCCGTTCCCTGCGTAACGGTTCCTCTGGTTGTCAGGCAGGATAAGTCAACTTTTGGGGACGCTGAAATCTGGCAGGTCAAACTCGTGACGATGCAACAAGGCGAATTGGAGGGAACAATTTGAAATCGGCTGTGAGTTGACGGAATTTGTAGACCAAGCGGTTCGGCGAAATTGAGTTGCGTTGCGTGTGGTGCAAGCCCGGTTACAGAAGCCCACAGAAGCCCCAGTTTTTACTGGGCGTCGCGTGTGGTGCAGGCCCGGCGAAATTGGGTTGCGTGCTCGAGCGGCGAAGACTGGCGAGCGCTTCACAATCAACCTGCAAGGTTGAGGGTTTTGCGACAGTATTCGACATAGGGAAAATATGCCACCAGTATGGAACATGGGACTCGATAACGTTTCTGGGTTAAAAATAAAGCGTACAGTCACAAAGTGTTCCAACGTGTTTGGTAATTGGCTCGTTCAGTCACTAAGAAGTGGACAGCATCAAGTTCGACAATCGATCGTGCAAAATAGATCTGCTACCGCACTGAAACCCTGCAATAACTCTCCTGAACTTTCAAAGTCCATCAATAACCGCCCCTAGAGCAAAATCAATCACCAAAAAGGATACGAGTGCCCGCGTCCTAACAGTAGGCATAAATTCAGAGAATTGTAAGGAAATTGCCTTTTTCCTTGTCAGGGTTGACTGCTACGCGTACAACCCCAACACTTTCGGACTTCACACGTTCGGTTGACAACCACGATTTCGAGGCTGCCTCGCGGCGCATTTGGTTTTCCCTTCGCCAAACTAGCTAGGTTAGTGGTAGTCACTATATTATCACGTGCCTTCTGCTAGAAAGGCATAGTGCCAGCGTAGCGGAAACGTGTTTGTAGAAAAGAACAAGATAGAAATCTTGCATTGATCATTGAAAAGTAAAAGGATGACACAATGATTACTCAATGATGTGACACAGCAGGGTATATATGCA